GGGGGGGGGGTTGTGGCAAGAAAGGTTATTTTTCAATGTTGAATTCCAGTTAAACCTATGTACCTGCATTAGGAGAGAATACAATTTAGGCTTTACACTATTGCAAGCTGCCATTATCAAGAATAGCACAGTACTATTCATCGCAGAGCCAGTTCCACACATAGAGAACATGAGGCACCTGCTAATGACTGTTTGGTGATGCCCACTTGTTCCTTCCCCAATCTTCACAGTATACTTTGCTTTGGATTGTGGAACGTCAAAACGGCCTCTAACTGTCTATTATTATTATATTATGAAACCCATCATTAAGACTACACCCACACACAAACTCACACACACACACTCACACGCATAAACACATATTTACAAAAAAACATACACACATACGTACCCTCTTTCGTACGCACACTCGCACCCTCTCTCTTACACCAACACGTGGACACGCACATACACTCTCTCACACACAAACATAGGCGCACCCACTCTCTAAATCAATATTGTAACTTTAAATACCTCATTGTAACTTTTCATACATATTGCAATATGTAAATGACACATTGTAAGATAAAGTGTCACACTGAATTTTCCAAATGTATAATTGGAAGCTTTTCATAATGACGTCATGGCCATGCAATTTTTAATTCAGAATACGACATTGTTTAAACGTTCAACCATACCATTGTAACTTTAAATTATGTTCTCTAAACGCTTCTTTCGCGAGGACATCCTATTGAAGTTTCCTTTGAAAATTATAAACAAGAGTAGATCTAAAGGTCTGGACTTTTGAAAAAATTGCCAAAGTCGAAAGTTTAGATAAGAGGACAAATAATTTATATATGAACCACATAAGAGGGTTAGGGGTTTCATGGAACCATATCAAATTACACATAAGATATTGACATGCCCTAAGGAAAGACCAACTGGCACCTAAGAGTTCCAATAAATATCCAAATGACGTTAATAAAACCTCAGCATTCACCAGAAAACAATTCAACTAGTTCAATGATATAGTTGAAAAGCAGGCTGACACAGAAAAAAATGAATTTGATATGAATAAAGATGAGAAGTGCAAGGTTTTTATTGTCACAAAGAGCGAAATACATGTTTATAATTCTTTTCAGATCAATAAATGGACACCTAGGAAATAAACGTGCCTCATAGAAAAAAGTAAATGACGCATCAGAAATCTAAAGTGAATGACCAAGTGACGTAAAGTCCAAACTTGGCAACAGAAAGCTCAAATGTAAACATTGAAGTCTCAAATACAACAAACAGATAATTCAAATGCCACACTAGAATCATTTACAGCGACAAAATATTCTAACCGCAAATTAATCATTGTTTTTAGGGTCCGGCAAAGGATGAACCCGTTTTCACGGTCTTTTCTTTATTTAAATTCCTCTGTTAAAAAGGGTAAAATTAAATAGTGTTTTTTTGTTGTTGTTGAAAAATAAAAGAAACTGTACAGTAGTGGAGATGACTCAAGCACTGCAAAACCAGACAATGGGACGAACGTTCATGACACTCTCCCCACAGCCACAATAACCAACCTGCTCACCAAGCTCTCTTGAGGAATCTCTTGCTTTTTGCGGCTACACCTAGACATACATAAACACACAAAATCACAGTATATGTCTCATTTCCTCTAAACCGAAGTAATCTTACGATAAACTCAACCTGTCCTAATTTCTGAGCCGCAAGCACATTTTAGTCCATACATCGCCACTGCCTATACTTTACTTTCAACATTTGAAGAGTAGTGCAGCATACTGGTCCTTGCGTCGGTGGCCTAGTGGTTAGGCTCTCGGACTCGCAACCGTAAGGTCGTGGGTTCGAATCCCGTCAAGGGCCCGACGTTGTGTCCTTGGGAAAGGCACTTTACACGAATTTTCCTCACTTCACCCAGGTGGGAATGGGTACCCGGCTATAGACAGCGAAAGATCTTGTCAGTTCGTTAGTGTTTGAGCGCTTAATCGGCTGCTCGCACTGTATGCTTCCCGGGAAGCTGAGAATGTTTCGGAGTGTACTATGGTCTGCTGGGGTAATAATATAGTGTAAAGCGCATAGAGCCTGCTGTTGAGCGGGGATATGCGCTATACAAATGCTATCTATTATTATTATTATTATTGCTGTTATTACCATATTGTCCGTGTATTGCTAAACTTTGAATCGCCCCCCCCCCCCCACTCTGGAAAAGCAAACAAACACACGAACAAAACAAATAAAATAAAAACAGGTAAAACAATTTTAACCGCTGTCCCGTATCTCGTTTAGCCAACAACCTGCAACGGTTCCGATTGTTCTCAGCAGTTCTATAATTTCAGTCCATTTCTAGAATCCTGCTACACATTTTTGTGGGAAAATTGGGCTTTTTTTACACTCCAATGCCATGTAATCCAACTCGTTTTATCTCCTGTCTCACCATTCACGACCCAGGAATGGCGAGGGAACCAGCCCGCGCGAAACAGTCAGTCCATAGTGGTGTCCCATGGCTTCTTCCTGTTTTGTCGTCACCGGATATGAAATCTAATGTATTTGTAAAACAGATCGGGAGACTCCTTTGTTTTCCCAGCACATCAGCTCAATGGACATGCAGAAGCGTTGATCCAATTTTATAAATTCTTTAGAGGGGAGGATGGGGAGGGCTTAATATTTTTCCTGAAACAAAAGAATCAGCAGCCTGTTAGACCGGTCTTCTGAGACAATCTGTTTGATCCACATAATATTGGAGATCGAATGTGTGGGCGTTCAGACAAAGCTGAAGTCGGTTTTTCTCTTTGGCTTGTCTGTGTTTTCGTTTTATTTTTGGCCAATGTTACATGCCTTCTGACTTCTCTAAAATCATATCTATCTGTTGCTATGTAAGGCTATACCAATCAGCGTCATCAGACGAGACAAACAAGTCATACATGTGTTCACTTTGCTTTCAAGCTCTGCTGGGGTTGGAATACTCGTATGATTAAAAATGGGATGTGGACAAAAACAACTAATAATCGATTGCATTTGTATAGTGTTTTATCACATACAGGTATACACTGTGGGCTCTTTACACTGATGGTGTGATACCTGAGGTTAAATGGTTAAAAACACCAGGAAAAAACCCCCATTTCACATGCACAGGGAAACCAGTTCAACTGCAAAAGGAAGAACTTTATTAGCCGTACGTTTATCAAAATCTAAGACACATGGACAGAAGTGAAAACGGAACTCATTTGCACCACTTGCACCTAACACACTCCAATTAAGAGTTAAACAAATGCTTAAACGTATTAGAATTTGTTGTTTCTCTGATGTACTGAGGCAAGGAGTTCCGAATTTTAGGTCCGAAAAGAAATTTTTTTAATGAAAAACTTAACTCACCAAAGTCTTATCCAAATTTTAACATTTCCCATTTGACGTCACGACAACTTGCATTCAACTCACGGGGTGTAGAGACTCTGAATTTGTATAATATTTCATTGGGGCTCTGAATTTCATTGCGTCAGTGGGTAACAGTAACTGACGAGATTGAACATATGGTGTTAAAAGCCCGGGCAGGAACAATGGAGAATTATTTCTTATAGATGGTAGAAACTATCGAGAGGTTTCCCTACTATGAGACATCAGAACAGCATAATGCTTTCACCAAATCCATTTACGTGTTTCATTATTTTATTCTTCGTTTTCTTTATTTTCGTCTTTTGTTCTCTCCTAAATGCTATCTGCCTTTTGTTCTTGTTTTATCATTATTTATCGTATTATATGTCGTTTATTGTACCGATGTCTGTGGTGTTGTGGTAAGGCGTTTCCCTGTCGCTAGCAACAGACCCGAGTTCAGATCTCCAGTGGAATATACTATATTGTTTTCTTCTCAGCGTCTGGGTTTGCTCATGCAGGAAAAGTCGAAAGCCGGCCCCCTAAAGGATCTTTTTTTGGTAGGTGGGGATGTATATCATCACCTACTATTTAATTTGAAAATATTTTTTCTGGTTTTTATTCTGTTTCTGACAGTTACTGGAACAAGAGCGACAAACGAAACATTGATAACGTTTACCTGAGTGTTTTTTAATAAGAGTTTTACGCCACTTGAAACACAATTAGGTCATAACTTTGCCGAAGGTTGGAAGCGTTACAAGACAGCAGAAAAAAACAAACAACACAAAACCCACCTCCAAAAACAACAACAAACATACAACAATTTAAAAAACCCCACTCAAAACAAGGGGGAGAAATATGGAAATTAGATATATTTTGATGAGAAAGAAGGAGTTAACCACACCAAAGCACCCGCCAACCACCCACCTTTAATTGTGTTAATAATAAAGCCTTAGATTAGATAATGGTATAGGAGAAGGTGCCCATTGCTACAACGGCACATCTGCAAACGTTATTGAACCAGAAGGCCAGTTCTCAAAGATATGTACTCATGTCTATTCGATGGAGAAATAAAAATCTTTATTCTTCTTTATCTACCAACACATATGACAACAGTTCGCTACCCTAGAATTACGAAGTTCTATCTGCTCAATACCTAGTTTTTTAAAATGAATCTGACATAAAAACTTGAGGTTCATAACAAGTCAAGCATTTTCGATAACAATTCTTTGAACAGCCTGAAAACGACTCCAAATAATATTTGGTTACTGATCTCATGGTCTTAGCTGCTCAAAACGGCCAAAAATGTCAAATAGAATGTCAAATTCAAAGGTAGTGAATTGTTCCTGTCTTAATCATTTTAACATCTGTCATCGTCACCTACACCATTACCTTCATCTAACGTTACAGGTGTGACTGACGTATGATCGGGGGTTCGTTTCGCATCCACCACGCCACTTGAACGTGTTCATTTTGAATCTGACCAGTAAACCAGCCCTAACGACGAATGTTACAATAATCGTTGTAAAGATATTCACTACAGGTCCTTTTTTTCTTACATCGTCTGTGGTGTAGTGGTTAGGTAGTTCACTGCCGCTAGTAGGACCACCAAGTCCAATTTCTGAGTTAAGAGAAAGAATGTTTATCGAATTTCTCGGTCTTTCCGCTGGAAAGTTGTATTCTTCTCGGCTCCTGGATTGACCCTTACAGGTAAGGTCGGACGACTGCCTACTAAAAGATGGAAATTGTGTGGATGGGTGTGTAAAACACCAACATTTTATGGTGAACACTTTTGTGAGGGATCGTGGTGAAATCAGGCGCTCGTCAAAATAATGAAATCGAACAAAAATGCATTTTTTTCACCACTTTGGCAATTTTATCGAATTCTTGTTTTTTGCCTCAACAACTTTTATGTCCTCATGAAAATACATTCCTTTGGGAATTTTACTGAAAAACGTTGATTAAAATCACATAATATGTAATTTTTCAGTATTCAAGGACAATCAAGTTATCGAAGTTCCCAAACTTTGGCGGCTATTGTCTCGCTAATTGTACTTCTGAAAGGAGGCGACCCTCACTCCCTTCAATAGCAAATATCTCGACTTCTATTTAATATAGATTGGGTTTTTTTTCTCCCAAAATCAAGGCAAAAGAACTTGTTTTAAGAGGATATCAACAACCCTATATGCAAAAAAATTACGAATGCCTGATTCCAGCACGTCGAGCCACAATTATTTTTATTTCCTTTTGACAGTTACTGGTACAAGAACGGGTGTCTGTTTCCAGATATGATGATCAGTGGCTTCATTCCTATTGATCGATGCTACAAGGAGAATGGATGCTTAGAGGTAATGATAGATAGTTAGATAGACAGATAGATAGATAGGTAGATAGATAGATAGATAGATAGATAGATAGATAGATAGATAGATAGATAGATAGATAGATAGATAGATAGATAGATAGATAGATAGATAGATAGATAGATAGATAAATAGATGGATAGGCTGACGCTAGATACATACAATGATGGTTCTCATTTTTTGCTCCCTTCCTCTATCTCATTCAGAGAGAGACACAGAGAGAGAAAAGATAAAAGATATATATATATATATATATATATATATATATATATATATATATATATATATATATATATATATATATATACAGAGAGAGAAAGAGAGAGAGAGAAGAGAGAGAGAGAGAGAGAGAGAGAGAGAGAGAGAGAGAGAGAAGAGAGAGAGAAAGAAAGAGGTAGATAGATAGATAGATAAAGAGAAAGAGAAAGAGTGAGAGAAAGAGAGTTTGTGTGGAAGTTTGTGAAAAAGGCAGAGACGGTTTCAGAGCAAGATATAGAAATGTCGTTGAGATTTCATTCCGTAGTATCTGTCCCTTTTGACCAATACAACACATTTTACGCTCAGATCCTGGTGGCCACTGATATGTGTGGTCAGACTGATCCAGAGAGAAAGAGAAACTGAGTTAGGGACCGACAGAAAGAGAGAGCGAGAGAGAGAGAGAGAGAGAGAGAGAGAGAGAGAGAGAGAGAGAGAGAGAAGGGTTGGGGATGGGGAGAGAGAGTATTTGTGTGAGAGAATTACAATTTGTTTGACAGAGACAAAGGGAGTTTCTAAGAAATATTGTGAGAGAGTTTACGAGTGAGTTTATCAGAGGGGTAGCGAGGGTAAGGGAATAGAAAAACAGAGCAAGAGAGAAACATATTTATATTATATGTTATCATGGAATGTTAATTAATAGTTAAATTTGCAGTGCGTGTTGCTTACGACCAATGCAACTCTCTCCCTCAGATCCTGGTCGGCTCTCACAAGTGTGGACGGATTGAGCATACTATGAAGGCCGGACAGACTGGGGCAGATCTGGACAGGGTGGCAGAGATAAGAAAAATATGTCCCCACACTTACGTAGAGATGGATGCAGGTGATTCGTTGTTTGTCAGTTGTAACTGATGCCATGTTAGGCATACTGCAGTCTTTCTAAAACACGAAACACTTGCTTCACCTCCTTCCCCCCTAAGAAAGAAAGCAACATTAAAAAAAGAAAGAAAACGAGCACCCCACCCCCCAAAAAAACCAACCCAAAACAAAACAAAGGAAACGAATATTTTAAAAATAAAGAAAAATGGGGAAAAACACGGAAAACTAAAAACACAACACAGAACGAATAAATGCAAAAAATAAAAGTAAACACCACAAGATATTCTTGAACTGCAACAATATGTAACAAAAAATGTGTGTTTCTGAGTGTGTTAGTGTTTGTGTGTGTGTGTGTGTGTGTGTGTGTGTGTGTGTGTGTGTATGTGTTGTTGTGCGCGTGTGTATGTTGCCCGGAGAACTTCCCAATTGTCGGAAATTTTGGATATTGAAATAAGGCCATTTATTTCTTGTAGCAGATTCAGTCCTGATTTCGTTGATTTTTAAAAAAATTGTTCAGTCTCCACACCTTCTTGAATATCATTGTGCAATTATCATCTCTGAATAACTTACAATGTTCAAAGGGCTTTTACAGCCAGACCATGCCCATTAGCCTCACAGGAGGTCACTTTATACCTCATACAACAATGTCATGTTTTTGGAGGACCCCTTTTTGCTTTGCTCATCGAAGAGAGAAAACCTGTATGTGGTTCTGCAAGGCTCCTCTGCATTCCGCTCGGGATAGTAAGGGCTTCTAAAGTTGTATGTTATTTTTTATATCTTCCCTTTCCTCCTCTCTTCAAAAACAAAATATAAAAAAAACTAAACAAGTAAACACACAACGTAAAAATCAAACAAAATGATATACATAAATATATAAATAAATTAAAATTTTAAAAATAAGAAAGAAGGAATAAAAGAACGAAAGAAGCAAAGAAAGAACGAAAGAAAGAAAGAACGAAAGAAAGAAAGAAAGAAGGAAGGAAGGAAGGAAGGAAGCAAAATAAAAAAGCAATAAAAAATGCCCAGCCCATGCTATGTGGGATACATCTTCAAAGCAATCAAACGGAGACGGCCGATAAAAAAACCCCGCCCATTTCCCCCACTGCCAAAGTAAATAAATAAAAGACCCGACAAAGTTAATAAAGCTCCCTTTTTCGGATTTGAGCTCTCATATGCGGTGTAAAATTCCTTTCTTCCGTATGTTACACGTGTGTAACGGTGTAGAACCATACCATTATACCACATAATCCGGTGCAAAATGTAGTAGTGTCAAATATGTCCGAGACAGCCACCCATGGTCAAGGAAAAAAGTGGTTATCTTATATGGGCGGGCGTCTTGATTTTCACTTTGCCATCGCAAGGCTCATATAATATACACCCTTGCCATCAAAGGTAAAGGTATTTTGGGGAAGATCCAAAGAAACTGGGTTGAAAACATCGCCAATCGGCGAGATGTGACGGCAAAGTCATCATAAAGAATGACAGCCACCTGTAAAAACGACTACTACCCATCCCACCTCGCCTACATTTTTTGTTGTTGTAGTTTTCTAGAAGATTTTCCTACTGGATCGATAACAACACCATAAAGAATTTTAAAAAACCCGTAGCTTAGGTGGAAAGGGAAGTAGCGTTTCTACAGGTGATTCTCTTGAACAATGTTATTTTTTATCTACTTTAGATTGTCTTGTCAAGGTGGCCATAAAATCAGCGGTGATTGTATCTGTCTCGTGGCTCAGGTGATGCCCTCTTCTTTCACGCTAACCTGCTCCACACCAGCGGCGACAACCTGAGCGACACCAAACGCTGGGTTCTCATCCCCTGCTACAACCGTAAGGATAACAATCCGCTCTACGAACACCACCACCCACAGTACACGCCCCTGGAAAAGGTGGGAGATGTTGCGTAACCATGTATATAGCTGACAATTTCTAAATGACTTCTAGGCCCATCGTCATGATCATGATCATCCTCCTCCTCCTCCTCGTCATTATCATAACCATTCGTAGCAATACATACACCACGCCTCCACCACCGCCACACCAACCACCACAATTAACAACTACAACAGTGTCACTAACAGCACTGTTACATAGAGCATCAGAAGTCGTAATAACGACACCATCATCTACATTAGCAGAACAATCACCAAAAGCAAGAACAAGAACAGCAAAAACAAAACATACAAAAAAAACCAACATTACCACACCCACCATCACCAACAACAAAATCAACAACAACAACAACAACAACAACAACAACGTCACACTAACAATGCTCAATGTGGTGCGTGCGAGAACCATTATATCGGAAAGTCCAAAGAAAGGGAAAAGCTACGTTAAGAAGTGATATGAATATATTACGTATTGGTACCGCCATGTCGTATAAATATAATCAATTGTTATTGTTATTGCAAAGGTTACTGTTATTCCAGTAGTAGTAGTAGTAGTAGTAGTAGTAGTAGTAGTAGTAGTAGTAGTGGTAGTAGTAGTAGTAGTAGTAGTAGTAGTAGTAGTAGTAGTAGTAGTAGTAGCAGTAGTGGCATCAACATCGTCTTCATCATAATAATCGTCACTATCGTTAACAACATCTACAACAACAACATCAACAACAACAACAATAGCATCACCACCACCATCAGCACTGGATGCAGCAATAATGACTTAAGGAGAAGCGCTGGCACGGCTAATAACAACCACAACAGTTACAACAATAGCAAGAAATGTAATACCCCAACAATACCAGCAACTGCAACAGCAACAATAATAACAAATAAAAAAGCAACAATAACACCAACACAAAAGCCCGAAACAGCAACAACACCAATTATAAAAACAGCAACTGAAGTAGAAGCAACAGCAGCAAGAACCACGACAATGACAAAGATAACAACAACCAACAACAACAATAACAACGACAACAATAATCGCCACTTCCATCGGCGTAAGGACAATAACCCACTTTACGCACACCGCCACCAACAGCACACGGCCCAGGAAAATGTGTGAGACGTCGAGAGCCATTATCTATATCAACTGCTAATGTTTCCAAGGCTCTCCTCCTCTAATCTTCTCGATTGGTGACGTATTGAGCTATGGGACAAATCAGCCCAGTTTGAATCCAATATCTGGTGTTCTTGAACTTAAGTTATTTGGTGAGTTTTTTAAGGGTCTCTGTCATCTGGACTTGGTCCTATAAAAGAAGAAGGACGGTATTCTCACTTTCCAGGAAAGGGTTCTCAAATTCACGGCCTGCAAACCAATTGAAACCAACAGTAAGTCATAATTTGTGGCCTCCACATGACATCGAAGTTAAGAGGTTGTGCAGCTGGGACTAGGTCTTTTTTCGTCTTTTCCTGGGGGGGGGGGTGTCTTTGCTTTGTTTTTTGTTCTTATTTTCGTTTTCGTGTTCGTTTTTTTTTCTTTTTCTAATGTTATTTTAAAAGAATTGTTCAACTAATTGCTTGAGCTTTCCAGGAAGCCTCGCGGGTCATATACGTTTTTGTTAGCATTTATTTGTATGAAAGGCTTCGTGGTGAGCTTAGATAAGCCCAAAATACAGCTCCAAACTTAACGATGAGCATCCCTCAAGCCAAAATATATGGGTGAGCTTTGTAAGAGGAAATGCAGCCATGTTTTTGACAAAGAGGAACAAGTAATCTATACGTTGAAGACCCGTTCATGTTCTGAAGTAATGGCCCAGGGTCACTCAGCTGCGGCCCCCAGGTAAATAAGGTTCGAGACCCCTATTATAGAATAACCTGATAGTGTTAAAACAACAAGCATCGTGCAATAGCTCACAATACTTTAGCACGTCCAAAAAGCGACAGTAACCCAAATCTCATTTTTTTTCTATCCTTTCATCGCAGGTGAAAGATTCAGCTTTTCTCGAATGCCAGAACTTTGATGACTTGAGCGGGAAAATGTTCAACCGTCCAGAGGAGGATAAAACAGTTGATGGAAATGCCCACTAAACATGTTGCAGTAATTAAAGTTGCGTAGCACACGAATCAATCCTAAAAATCAAATTTCGCAAGGCGTTTAAAAAAAAGTGTCCATCTTCATAGAAATTCGCTTAGTTCATCTTTTCCTGTACTGTTAGAAAATTGTGAAAATGATTACATTTGTTGAATTGTGAGGTTAAATTTTGGTGTCTTATTGGTGTTCACATTCTCGATGCTCCTGACTTTTACAGATGAATGACTCACTGTTAATACATAACTACATAATATGCTGGTCCATTAATTTACAGGCTGACTTTTAGATGAGTACCATAATCAGCGTCTTTAGATGTTTAAAAGTGTAATGATGATCCTGTTTAAACACCCTTGGTAATTTTTCAGGGGTTTGTTGGGTGTTTTGTGGAAAACACCAAAATACTGATGGATCTTTCCCTATTTTTCAACGAACTAACCTTAACACTAACCTTACCCCTAACCCAACCATAAATCTAAACCTAACCTTAGCCTTACCTTAACCCAAACCTTAACAATAACCGTAACCTAACCCTGACCCTAACCCTAAATTTAAATCTAACCCTAATCCCAACCTAACCTTTCTCCACATGTTAATCCCAGTGCTAGCCCTAACACCAACCGTGACCCTAACCCTTATCATAACCCTACCCTTATCATAACCCTAACCCGCTATTACTAACTACCTAACCCTGAGCTCCTGACTGATCGTAACATAAAGAGAAAGTGCTGTTGGGGTCTGTTAAACCCCCATCATGTAATCCAGCTTCAACTGAGAGAAAACAATGGTGTCGATACATCTAAAATTTCATGATTATTGGTTTCTTTGTGGGCAAGATGGAATCGTGTTGCCTTTTCCCCAGTGCTCCCAAACTGCGATACCTTGGCCCTTGAGATGTCGACCTCCGACTGCCAATTATTGGCTTCAAGAAATTGGTATTTCAAAATATGTACTATAACCAAGATACTGAAATAGACGCTTAAAAGTACTACTCCCGCTTGGAGCTCTATTTTGTGTTGGAATAGAATAGCAATATGAAATTGAAAGCGTTCCTTTAAATAAATAAAACAACAAACAAACAAACAAACAAACAAACGCCGAGCATATGGAATGAAATCACTTCCGATACATAGAGTAAGAACAATTAAGAACAACATTATGGTCATGTCAAAATCTACAGTTCTTGAATGATATAGGAGGTGCAGAAATGGCTACGTGTCTCTTAATAGAGATTTGTTCACTCGAGTTACCTTACAAGGGTGTATCAGCCAAAGATACAGACACAATTAACGGGTCAGATAATATGATATAATAGGGTGCACACAGCAATGGAAGTTGTCGATGAACGGCACCGCTTTTTGGAGTTAAAAAAAAAAAAAAAAAAAAAAAAAAAAAAAAACTGAAAAAAAGTTATAGTTGCAATAGCATGGGTTTAATTATATATTTTTTTCTCAAAGAAACATTTTTCTGGTATTGCATGTCTTTATTTGCGAGGTACTGTCAACTCAGTAGATGTTTCTCAATTTCGAAAGTTGTTGCACTATTCATTCGCTTAAACGTTCCATCTACGAAAGCGGAATAAACATAATTATGGATGTATCTTTGTGTCTGATTGTGGTGCATTCTGCTGTTAGACTTCCTGCTGCTGTTGGGTTTGTTTTTTTGTTCGTTTGTTTTTTAGACTAATGTTGTTATGACGGATTGTATAAATTTTAATGTGTCAACTACTGTGTCAGCACACCAGATTATTCTAGTCATTTGTGTGTGTGTGTTTCCTTGTTTTTTAAGCGCACGTGTGCTTGTGTGTGTGTGTGTGTGTGTGTGTGTGTGT